TTGGAAAACTATCTGTAATAGATGACAAATTGAGCAAGTTGGATACAATAAAGGATGTTCCTCACAGTAAAGGAACGAGCACAGAAGTAGATGTATCAGTGATAAGAAAAACTGTCGACTACTAGTATATCATAAAGGGGATTGCCGCGGACAAACTTGAAAATGTTAGAACAAGAGATATGTTTGTCAACTTGGTGAACTCTTTGGCATCTAATAAAAGTAACAGTGCTGATATGTTTCAAAATATAAAAGATAACCTAGAAAGTCAAGCGGAGAAATTATTAAGTACAGAATTGAACATTAAGGAATTGAAGAGAGAAAATGAACGCGTGACTACTAAAGTTGATTATCTTGAAACTAAAATGGAAACATTAGTGAGTACAGAGTTGCTGAACACGGAATTGAGGAAGGATAAAGACTTGATGAATAGTAAAATTGGTAACCTAGAAACCGAGTTGAAAATGAGGAAGAAGACAGAAGAGCGATTGATGTCAAAACTAGAGTCTATATCAACAACAACAACAACAACAACTTTTATTAGCAAATATCGACAAAAACTTGCCTTTGGCTAATGAACAGAAAAAATACTTCAAATATTGATCATATATACAAACATATAAAGCAATTTTATATGAAACAATATTTATCAACACATATACATATATATTCATAGTGATCAGAAAAAGTGTACATTTTAAAGACATCATTTCTAACAGTATATGCTTCTTTAAGATATTTACACATATTCAATACAGTTTTCTTTTTATTTGAACCCCATCATACGGTTGAACAAATTAAGATTTGGCCACGAAATATGTGGCATGTATTTGGTACGAATATTTGAATATTTTTGACAGGTCATAAGAAAAGTGGTACTCTGACTCAATACATTACAATTGCAATATCTACAAATTCTATTTATTCTATCAGTTCCTATATATCTCCCAGTTTTCGATAGCTAGCGAGTGCGCTGATAATCTGAAACATGTAAATAGTTTTTCTCAAATAGTCATTTTCAATAAAATCAAGATATTTTTCATAAACCAAATTCTTTCTTAAATTTTACATAATAATCAAGTTTTTGGACCATACTACGAATAGAACCACTCCATTCTTGTTTAAACTGATCTCTTAATCTGCATTTTAAGATACTCATAGAAATATCGTCGTTGAAAATTGTACCAAAAATATAGCCGTCGGCCGAGAGAATCTAGAAGAGATTTAACATGTTTTTTGCCCATAATATGCCCAATTTTGATTGTTGTTTCTTGATATTGCAGTTGAAAAATGTTTATAAATAAGCGAACTTTTATTTCTGTTTTAAATTTTCACCCAATTAGTTCAAAAACTCTCTCTTTTACATAAGATAGATATCGGATATCTTCCAGTTCTCCCAAAGTACAGCCATATTTGGTGTAGACATTTTAACACCTAGAATCTTTTTTACCAGAAACTTCATTTGAATTCTATCTAGAACATCTGTATTGTAAATACCAAAGACTTCAGCACAATATAGTAGTATTGGTTCTACCCATCCTGTCAAAGAGCAACAGTTTTAGTCCTTAACATCAAACTTTATTCTTGAGAAGATTGAATACAGGCTGTTTACAAGCTTTTAATGCGTGCTCTGATAAAGATTTCATTGCATCATTCATAGACCCATTATACTTAAAGTTAACTCCAAGGTAACAAAATGTTTCTACAACTTCTATTTTCTCAACCATTAATAAACCAATTATTATCAATTTTTGTTTTTCTTTTTCCCTAAATACACAAATATTTGTTTTCTTAACAATTTATTTTCAGACTCCATTTAACAGAATATACGTATAAACTATCTAGCTGCGCTTGGAGACTTTGTGCATTTGTAGTAAATACCACCATATCGTCTGCAAATAGTAACATATAAATATTCAGATAATCAAGTGATTTAGATACGGTTAAGGCAGGTTTGGAGGCAGTAAAGAACCAAGACCGAACAGTCTTTGAAGTAAAGTTCCTCTAAATAATCATGAATGTCATAGTATTACTGGTAATACATTGGTGTTAAAGATAACCATCCTGTGTTATTAACCTGTTTTTAAAGTGTAAATAGGCCAAGAATGGAAAGCAACGTAATCGGTTTATTATGAATTATTTTACACATTTCATCCAATAAAATCGAGAACATGAATCAGGTCTGTAAGAACTGTAATAGTGGCAGTTTTAAATAAGAATCGTTCGGACATATAGTGATCACAATTTAGCCGTCATAGGAAACTTCTGTGGGTTTGTTGTTGGAATGTAAATATTGTCAAGAGTGTCTTTTACAGAACATTAATTTTGTATATATTGTACCGTTTGTACGACCTGGAATTTGTAATCTTCTTGAGTGAATATTGTTAAGGAAGTATCGTGCGTTTGGGATCGGACACAGAGAAATATTCACTTCAACAGATACTTTACGAACTCCAGATTACATTTACAATAATATATATTATATATTCCCTCATACAACGACACTAGTAACCGTGACTGATACTGAATGAATACCAAAAACGTTATACTTGAACAATTTCATATCTATATATATCTCTCGAGTATTGATTATGCTGATTTTCAATGAACATGTAATGGATATGATAATCTGGACAGTTTTTGCTGTGTTCTTGAGATTTCGATCACTACCATTATATCAGTCACATTATGAAATTTGTTATATTTAATTTTTGTGCATATTTTGAATGTAAAAGATATATTCTTGCAAGAATTTCAGTTATACTTGTACATTGCTAAATAAAACTTCTCAAAAGAAAAGGCTGTTTTTTAAATTTTACTCTGTGTGTGTGTCTGTGCGTGCGTGCGTGTGTGCGATTAGTAATAGCCTCACATCGAGAGTGATCATTCATATAGACTAACATAGCGAACGTTGAATACTTCCTGAATGCTAAGGTGAACTTGAAACGTGGAGCCAGTACCCTTCTGTAGGGAAGTATTGAATCTTGGACAATCTTGTGTTCCAAAGGAAAGGCAATTTTTGAAATCTGTGTTCCAAAGAAGGCAATTTTGAACCATTTTGGCCATTTTATCATGTTTTTGTAACGTTGGAAGGGATACAATACATATAACCGTTTACATAAAGCTAACAAAAAGAAATTAGCAACAAATCAAGTAAAACTTCGCCTCAATGGTGCAATTGGTTTTGGAAAATACAAACATTGGTCCCTCTGGCCTTATTTTAATACATTTGGGTACGGCGGAGTAAGAATAGAGACTCCGTCTGTTAGGTGGGCTAGCCCTTTTTTTTCTAAAATAAAACAAAGTCACTTCGCAGGAATAAGAAGCCTATATAATTCTGTCTCATAACTTTATCTTTATGATTTTAAATGGAAATAAGCAAACCAATATTGCCAACTCGGCAACCTTGATCACCATATTTTGGGCGTTTTCTACTTATTGTTCGAACAAGCTTTGTTGTAGTAAAGGCTACTATGACAATGACCTTTGACCAACTGGTCCAAAAATAAAATTGTCTCATTTTCTGGTGATAACTATCCTCAACACCGTATTTTATTACTGTTAACTTAGGTTAACTTTTTTTCTTTGTATTGGTCGAATTGATGTTCAAAGCCACAATGACCTTGTCCTTTGTTCCAAACCTTCACACCAAATTTGAGTACTTATAGCCAGTCTTCTCTAGTTATTATCGGACTAACATTTTCTGGTACATTATCAATAGGGGTCAACCATCAGTTCTCCAAACAAAATCCGAGCATAAAGGGCCAAATTGTTTATTAGTTTTGGTCGGGCGCTGTGTTGTCTTCGCCGGACGAACAGATGTACCGACATACGCTGTGCAAAGCAATATACCCACACTTTTTCAAAGGGAGGTATTATTACATTTGTAACTATATTTAATAAAAACAATTCTCGCAGTGTTTAAATCAAAGTGGCTGATGATTAATGATTTAAGGACAGCATGTTGACAGAGACTCGTAGGTTAATACGGAAACATAAATCTATTTAAAAAAAGAAATAACTAACGACATGGCTAAATACTCTTTATAATGATTTTCTATTATCATAAATGTTAAACTATATATTTATATGACAAAATTAATTGATAAGTAAGAAATTAAATCAAATAGATCTAATTAATATCACATGGAAATCAGAGTTCAATGAATCACGTTATCTTACAATACAGTGTTTGTGAATAAACTTAACATGTGAACATATTTTAAATGTAAATCGAAAATGCATAATTCATGTTGTAATTCTTTTATACAAGTATGTAAATGAATTTTTAAAATTTTACTTAAAAAAACACCAAATTTTTATTAAATTTGCCAATTTTTCAAAATTTTCCCTTTTAAAAATTTTTTTAAATTATTGGGCTTTTAATTTTTTCAAAATGGTAAAGAGGTAAAAAAAGGGAAACATTCTACTGACTTATGCATTTTTCATTATTCCACTTAAAGATGACAAATTTATTTTATATTAAAATTTTTGGCCCAAAAACCCCATTTTTAAAGCAAAGATTTTGAAATTGGTTTTTTAAATTTATGATGCCCTTTTAACATTTATTTGGGTGTTAAAGGGAAAAGACGTGGGTTTAAAGTTTTTTTCACCTGTCCCCCAAAAAGAAAACTTTCGTTTGTTTTTTCGAAAATAAACAAGCAATAATAAATGCATTTTATTGTGTCGTACTAGTAACCACCTAAATGGAAATACTCCATTTACTTGCTAACCTTCAAAATTACATATAAACGCCTGGAAGTTTTTTATATTGTCTTTGATTGTCTCAGTCTTTGAAGAACACAAGTTAAATTAGACACTATACAATTATATTTAATAGTTAAACACAATAAATTAAGAATTAGCGCTTGTCATTTTTTAAAGATCAGCAACTTTTGTAAATACTTTAAAGCACCGGCGTACATACACACAAATCAGCCGTGAAATATAGTACATTAAACTTTTTAAATTGCAATGTCTGCTACAATCATCGCATAGATTCCTTAATAGATGCTTAATTTTTCACAAACATAAATGGGCGGCCCTTCTTTTTCCCGCCTTTTTTCTTTTGACCCACTTTTATCCCGGAAGTGGCAAATGATTGGATTTTTCATACTTAAAGCTTCAAGGTCGGAGTCTTTGAGTTTTGAGAACTTATGTCCATCAAGTCCTTTTTTGTGCGTATGTGTTACAATTCGTTCTTCTACTCCCATATATCTTAGAAATGTAGACATGTCGTCTGCGCTGAAATCTCGTAAACTTCCGTCTGCTGGAATATCTATTTCGTGCTCGGGAATAAATTTTTGTGCGGCTGTAAAACAATCGAGAAAAATATTTATCAGCAATAAGCAATACTTCAGAAAATAAATACATTTTTTCATCACTCATAATGACCTGTACTTTAAATTATGAAGATTATTTGTGTTTTATTTTTGTGATTCAGCAGTAAAGCCATACATATATTACTATGTATACTTCATATCGTTACAAAATGCGGTACAGTACATTTAGAGATTCCAAATATCGGTCATTAAATACTTATTATATTGAAGAGGATTTCTAAGATAAAACTCACGTTTCGTTCCACTTGGTCTGCTCCTTGCTTGTTGTCGGGGTAAGGTTGAAGGGGCAGAGTGGGATTCGTCCTCACGAGTCGGTGATAAGGTACTGAAAAATTAAGCATGACATTTAAATTTCTTCTGTTAAAATCAAAAGTTTTAACTTAATATAGCTTTTAGAACAAACTATGCTGAAATTTAAGGAGGCTGTCACTGTGTTTTTTGTGTATTTGGATAAATGTTGGTCAAGTTGTATAAAAGACCACATATCATTATGACATCTTTATATAGAGAGTTTGACATTAATGGAAGACAGAGATATATCTTTGTGGTCCCAACCTCGTTCAAATTGACCTAAAAACACTCAAAAACAATAAATGCAATGATTCATGATATTTGTGGTTCTATGCCTTCTATACGATTGTAATACAATATACTAATACCGTGGTAATGTGAGGTTATCAAACAATATATGAAACCAAGGTAAACGTAAAAATAAAATAAAAATAGAAAATTCCAATTTAACCAAAGAAAGGGAGGTAAACAAGATTACTTTATCAAAAAAATAAAATATTCGATTGTGTCCCTTGCTCTGTGGCACTTGGAATTAATAAACAAGAGCTCTCAATCGGACAATGTGCTCGATTTGTCTCAATGTTTTATAGAGCCTTTCACAAATTGTTCATTGGTGAAAATGTATGCTAGAGTTATGGGTCTTTCACAGTAGCCTTAAAATATATTCAAGAGTTTCTTGTGAATACCTAAGTTTTTGAGAGAGAAAGAGTAAAAACCTTGGCAATAAGTGGTCCGCCAACGCAAACCCGTGTAGAGTAGGATAACGCCACTATTATGTATACATGTAATTCAAAAACTACAGTAAAGAAACAACACATCCCTTGATATAGGAAAAAAAAGTTGAATTTATAAGAGCATACATTCAGCAAACAAAGGCGTGTTCGTTGATGAAACATAAGGAGCGCTATCGTGCCCGTATATCAGTAACCGTACTAATATCTGTTACAGACGACATTCAAACTTTGTAAACCATGTCTGATTTAATCTTCCGGTACAATGATAGTAATACATGATAAAATGACAATATAACATGATCTTATACGAAATAACTCATCCTAAATTAATGACAGTGAATCTTGATATTTCTGATCAACCCGTTGTTTTTCTAAATAGAAGTTTTAAGGTGTTCCGTGTGGGACATCGCGACGACCCCCGATAAACCTAAAACGCCGACGCGACGATACAATACGCCTTGCGAAATCGAACTTAAATAAATTTTGTATAAACAAACTAGAAAAAAAAATGTAAAATAAACAATGCAATTATGTATTATATTTTTGTAAAAATATGTAAGTAGCTTTTTTATGATATTTATTATCGAGTTTTTTACCATTCGACCATAATGACAAAAACACGACATATTTGAGCTGTCGTGGTTACCTTTTGTCTTTTTGTCCAACTCAATCATCACGACACAAATCAGACACATAAAAACACTGCTAAAGTACGACACTATAATTGCATTTATGTTTAAATACCTACAATGACATTATTGTTCGATATATTGGTAAACCTTCTAAAATTAGATAATATCTTTCTTAGTAAAAATTGTGCTGCCATAACCGGGCACTTGACCTGACCCTGTACATGCCTAGAAGTACAAATTCCATTATCTTTTCAATCATAATGATATTATCTGTGATTGATTTTTTTTTCGTTTAGTTTTGTTCAAATAAGAAAGTATTGTAACGATATATCGATATTTTAACCAGACATGAATAGGCCTGTGTAACACAGTTTCTCAATAGTAAAATAAACAATAAACAATGCTAATTTCAATCGCCAGCTGATTTTCAATTGTCAGTAAAACAAAACAAATATAATTATGTATACATATATATAAATACCTTTCGTTTTCGGCAGCCATAGTTTCCTTAAACTTCATAGTTATAAAATGTAAATCTTTGTAAAAATATTTTTACTGAAACATCAAGTGAAGTGAATGAAATCTAATCCGTATATGGTCACATTGTCCACGATCGGTATATATTTATACACAGGCAATGTATATACTTTTTTAAGCCTACATGTTTTGTAGGTGTGAGATATTAGTCATAAATGTAATCTACTTAATATATTTTAAATTGTAACGATCCAATGAAAACTTCTGATATAAACTCATCAAATTATTGTGTTTTTATTGTCAACACTGTACACAAAATTCCTGCGATCATTTCATCTGATCAAGATAGCCGTGGGCGGATTTTTTGATTGTGATAGTCAAGTCTCGAACGCTTCGCTAACTTCGTTTTAAATGTAAATAAAATTTTACATATATTAAAATGTAAATATAGCTAAAATATTTATTGAATGCAATGTAGGCCTTGCTTGGATGACTTGCAGTTATACATTTTATGTAGTAGATATAAGCCGAAAACTGTCCAATATGTAAAATATTGAATTTCATGAGGCGTGTAGCGCCGAAGGGAATTCAATATTTTACTTATTGGTCAGTTTGAGGCTTATATCTTACTTAAATTACTACTTTTACTATCAAATATCATGTTATCTATCGAAAAATAAGAACTAATGTATTTTTGAGCTAGAAATGTACAATATTAATGTTTTAGCAATTATCTTTTTCTTACTTGCAAAACCCTATAGGTAGCCTCTTGAATAACAAAATGTCCGTAGCATGAAATTTTCATGTTTTGAAATATGACCAATTATGTACATGAACACAATGACATACACAAAATATACCAGTTACACAAAATGCTGGACTTACACACATACAGTACTGTATACATGAATTTACATTTGGGATTTTTACAAGGAATAATAAAAATGATATGTTTTCAAATTTGTGTTGAATCTCTGATATTTTAAATAATTGACTGAAACAATCTATGACTTTAAAGAAGGATTTTTACTGACCATTTAGTGTTAAAATGATATTTTTACTTTACTACAACTATCACGGATGTAAAATTTTGGATATTAATGCAACAAAATGATATTTTCTTATTTTTGAATTGATATTTGTCATACCACAGGAGTCTGGAATCGTTTCTTTATATAAGCAGTCAAACATAACCGCTTTTGTTTTAAATAGATGAATTTATTTTCTCTATTGTATTTAAAAGCTGACCATTACCCTTATTTAAAAAGTTGACCTAACTGAAACATATCGTAGTATACATGTATTTAAAACAGAAAAAAACGGACAATAGACTAGAAATGAATCCCATAAAAATCATATCTTAACTGACGCTCCGCTATCTTTCACTTGGAAAGCGTAAACAGTGATATGATGTTAAGAGCTTGAAAACCGAAAATCAGTAGGTTTGGAATAATAATTCGCTAAATGAGCCAGAGAACAAGACTAGTATTTTTCTTTTCCTAAAATTATTTAATTGCGTAATGGGCGAAGGAAAGACATTGCATCATTCCTCGTGTTAACTTCTGAGATAAGAGGCTACATTTAACTTAATCGTTTTTTGTTTGTTTGTTTGTTTTTTTTTGTTTGTTATTAATTCTTTTTGTTTTCTTTTTTTTATTTGGAGAATTTTCCACAAAATCCTGTGGTCATACAAGTTTCTTTCAAGAGACGGCACGCTGTCTAATATTAATGTGTTACACGATTAATATTGGACTTACACATTAATATTGGACACCTACCTGTACTGTATCAAAAATACAGTACGGTCAGAACAAAGGAATGACGTCATAGTAGTAATTTAAAATTACAGAAAACGACTCGACATGACAGATTGGATAAACGCGAGTAATTAGAATTTTTTATTTGAACAATCTTAAGGCAAAAGCTATTATTATATATCTTAGTTTTCTAGTAACGGTAATTTGATATCCCGCGCACATGAAAAAAATTCGGTACTCGAAAAACTCTGATCGGTATGTAGTTATTTAAGAAATAAAGCAAGACAAAAAACGGAATGTTGCACTCTGTACTTTGTAACAATGATTTCTACTTAAAACAAGAGCACGTATGCGTTGTTAACGCTCTTCTGTTGAAAATTCTACGATCATAAGGGACATAACTCCGAAGATATTGCTTTCAGTTATGCCCAGTTTAACAATTGCATCTGGTCAGGATAAGCAAGTATTCCAAGTTTCATGTTGATAGCCTTTAAAATGTTTTAAAGAACGTCACAGTGATCCTTATAGCTCGACTTTTTCTTCGAAACAGACTAGCTAAAAATATATTGTACACAAAGTTATCTTGGTTTTTAATACATTGCATAAATTTACACGGTAACAAACACAACAAGAGCTGTCACTGGAGACAGCGAAGCTCGACTAATAAAATACTGGACGCAGTAAGGAAGACAAAACTATGAAAGAAAAATCAATTATGTATAATTATGTTTTAAGTTAAAGTAAAAAAATAACATTGTTAACATAAATTCCAAGATCTAGGGGAATAATTCTAGAAATAGTCTCGCTAGAGTTATGAACCTTGTCACACAACATGTGTGTAATGATAAGAAATATATATTTGAAGTTTGAAGAGTAAAGAAGTTATAATATTTCTTAAAGAAAATCCTAAGTTCAAAGAGAGATAAATCTGAAAATATTGCTTCAAGAGTTCTGAACATTGTCCCTTAAAATGTAATTGATGATAAGGAATAAGTATTTGAAGTTTGAGATAGATACCCTTAAAACTAAAAAAGTCAAAAATAACATTTTTCTAGTAAAAAAAAATCTAAGTTTATAGGGAGATAATTCTTGCAATATTGGTGCTAGAGTTATGAACCTTGTCACATAAGATGTGGATGATGATAAGGTACATATATTTAAAGTATGAAATTGATCCCTTAAGAAATGAAGAAGTAACAGTAAAAAGCAGAATTTTTTCAGGAAAGTTCTAAGTTCAAGGAGAAATAAATCTGAACATATTGGCGCTAGAGTTATTAACCTTGTCGCATAAGATGTGGTTGATGATAAAGAACATATATTTGAAGTTTGAAGTTGATACCTTAAGAAATGACAAAGTATAGTGAAAAATATTTTACTGCACCAAAACTTTAATCTGAAATCTGGACGCGGACGCCGACGCCACCGCCGACGCCG